TATCCAATCACTGCGTGAAGTGTAATTGTGACTATATTTCGCCGAATTGGCATTGCTCATCGGATGCTCAATTTTATTCAGTACCACTCTGTCGAGTTTTTATCAAGTTGACTGTATTCAGCATCTTACCTTCTCCTTGACCAACTTCCAATTGGCTCTCATGCCCCTACGCCAGGATGATCAGCATCAGTACCGCGCTGTTTTGGCTCGCTACCGCCGCATGGTCGAAGAAAACAATGCCAAGCGGGCAGCTGTCCAACGTCGGTACGCCGTTCGCCGCGCTGAGAGGATGGCAACTGAGTCTTTGCGATCTGCCTTTGCCGCTCGGGTGTCCTTTTCTTCCCCTGCTCCGAACACTCGCCGTTAATATAATTCAATAGTGGATTATACTTGATATTTGTATACTATAAATTAAATGCCTATTTTATTTGGTCGGACTGTGACAAACTGATCAATTCTCGGGTTTTGATTCAAGACTCAGTCATTTCGGAAATACTTCAGTTGTGGCGTTGGAACTCTCTCAATCTTCTTTGACAGAGTCTTCCAGGTATGACGGCTGTAGAAGATCATTGTTGGCCTCGTATTCATTACAACTCACCATAACAGAGAGATCAGCATAACTGTGGAGATCCTTGCGTTTTTGATTTCGCGATCTAATAGGGAACCTTTGTTGGTGATATGGTTTTAAGGGTTTTCAATTTGCACATGTACAAAATTAAACAGGATGGGTCGCTCGGAGTTGATAGATAAGAATATACATATGTATCGAATGAAAGTGTTTGAATTCAAAAACGGACATCATATTCGAATTCAGGAGGGGGTTGATACCCTGGCAACCTCCAGAAGACAAAACGCGGGACTTCAAGTTGTGTCGCAGTTGGAAGCGGTAGAGCCAGCCGTTCGAAAACCTCATGATGGCGAGATCATCTGTAGACTGTGATGCACTGTGGAGTTCGTCTCGTATGACTATGGCCTTGGCACGGATGGTCGGTCCAGTTACAATGGGGACCTTCCACTCCTCACACTTTCGAATCCAAGTCATTAGTCAACGTTCCAGTTCGGGTAGGCGGGGCCTGTGTGCTGATTTATGTGACGGATGTACATCCGGGCTTGCTCTGATTGTTTAGCCAACGATACATCGTCGACTTTTCAGGAACATGTGGCAGTCCAAATTCACGCTGAACCCATTTTTGCAGTTCAAGTCCTCTTATGCCAGGATTGGACTTGTGATACATCAATAGTGAGCGCTCTTGCTCGACGGTGAGTCTCATCCGTGTCGAGGGTGACGGCATGTTGAGTACACCAAGCGGTTTTTCGAGACGTGTGTCATTTGAATTTTCAATCCGCCTCTATAAATTCATTTTTCAGTACTTCCTGGACAAGAATTAATTTTTCGAGGGTATTAATTAGTGTGGGTTCCCAAATGCCAAATGCGGGGGACTACTGTACTTGTAAGAGACATTTCGTTCGTGTGAGTGCTCACATTGCATCGAAACATCATTGGATGCGGGTTGCACCGACGTCGAGCACGCCGGGATGCTCGACAAAGGCGCGTAAGTGCCGAGTGAACTGGGGGACTGTCGCCGGGTCCGCGTACTGCGGGTCAATCATAACGTTGAGACGAGCCATCGGCCGCACGACGACGCGATCTTCGTCTTCGTGTTCAACCACCACGGCTTGTTTCGAGATGGCGCCAATCACCACCGTCAATGGCACGTGGCAGAGCGTCGCCGTCGGGACATGAACCGCGTCGTCGAAACCCAAATTGCCTACATTGGCTACAATGGCGTGACTGTATCGGTGTGGCTGCAGGTCAAGGCTCGGGAACATGTAACTCGTCCAGCCCATCAAGCGGATCCACAACGTCACGAGCGAAGAAGGTAGCGACTGAGCCCAACGGTTCGTCGGCCAGAACAAGCTTGCTGAAGGTTGGCCAGAGCGCGCACGGCCGGCTCCTGCCACGACCTCGGTAGCAATCGACTGAATCGACAACGCATCGGCACCTTTCAACGTGACAGAGCCCACGTCCTTCCCGTCGCGAATGTCAACGAGGCACGACACGTCAACGCCGTCGCTGGTCGCACAGAATGACTCAAACGCCACGCGGCCATGAAGGGAAGGCGTTTGGCGTATTGCATGGGCCACTGCACGGATGACAACGTGAGTGAGGGTAACTTTCGACTCGCCACTCCGACGCTTGTGCTGCTCCAGGTACGCCAGTGTATCCGAGCAATCCACGACCAATGTGCCTTGTACAAGTTCGCCATTACGTTGGATGCTAGCTTTCCATGACGCGAGGTGGCCCGGTTTCTGGCATGGAGTAGAGGGCTGCTCTTGATAGTGCTGGCTGGCCAGGAATGCCAGCCCGACGCAGAGGACAGTGTACCAGCCAAGTAGTGTGGGCAGAACGAAGAGGGCTGCAAGGAACACTGCTGCATATAGACCCAACTTCCACGTGTTTAGGTCTGTCATGGGCACCGGGGCGGAAACTGCGGTGGGTGGAGTGTCGTCAATCCAAACTATTGAACCTTTCTTCGTTGGCTCTGGCCCACGCCGCGTCTTGTCAGGGGAGGTCTTTTCAAGCAGGATCGAGGGGTTGGTCGTGTCGATGCAAGTACCAAGGGGAAGCACCGGGGCGGCCTCCATGCGCCCGGTGGACTCGTTCTTGACCCTGAACGACTTCATCCTCGGTAGCGCCTCGAGCTGGCTCCGGAGTGCCAGGATAACAAACGCTTGGTCGACGACAATTTTGTTTTGGACAAAGGTCGGGATCGACCCTTTCAAATCCATCTTGACCAGAAACGTCACGTCCGCGGAAGAAGGCGTCGAGGGCACGATGTGCCACCCCGCGACGTGGATTTCGCCCCGAACGAGGCCCGCCTTGGGTGGCATGAGGTTACTTTCCGTGGCTTTCGCGACGACCACGATCGACTTGTCGGGCAAGACCCGCCAGTGAACAACGTTAACAAAGTCCCTGCCGGACACAATCAACACGGGCTTGGACGCGTAGTAGTCGAGTACTGTGTGGGCGTCAAGTCGTGTGATGGGATATGCAGCTGCGCACATGGGGTCGTAGGCGACTTTGCGCCCGGTGTCCAAGAGGAACCCGAGGATTGTAGACGCTGGAAATGGGACCGGCCCCATTCCGAGGACGGACGTTAGGGAGGTTCCGTCTGGCTTGGAGTAGGCGCGGACTCCCATCCTTTCCGACTGAAACGACCATGCAGTCAAGTTGGTCGGCTTCGTAGCGTCGACAAGCATAGCGATGGCTTGATCGACATCGGCAACAAATTCCGGTGGAATCGTGTACTCGCCAACATCGTCTTCTTGTGGGGAAGGCACATTGTCTTGATTGGGTGTGTTGGACGGAGCCATTGCTTGAGAGATGGCTCGCGGAATCGCTCGGTGTGCCCGAGGCGATGTGGCAGGCCCAGGGGGCTCGAGCAACGTCCGCAGCACGTCGAGCTTTAGAGCGCGAGACACCACGACGTCGTCTGGCAGGCTGTCGTCGCCGTCAACATGCACAACGTACGTGACTTCGGCGGCCGTGTCGTCCGAGTTGGGTACAATGTGGTACCCCTCCATGAGGAGGTTCGCGCGGTCCGTGTGGTGGTGGGACGTCACCGTTGTGGGCGGAGTTGGGATCGACTGCGACACCACGACCACCGACTGGTCCGGGAGGGTTCGGCGGTGGGTCAACATGACAAAGTCGCGAGCCCGATGCGGAAACATCGCTTTCGTCGTCACGTGCAGTACGGTCGTGTGTTCGTTGAACGTGTCGAGAACGATGGAGTCGCGAACAGTCGCGTCGAAGGTCGGATCCACGACGACGGTCGCAATGTCGTCGGACGCGTGCTTGATCATGAGTCTGCTCATGGCGGCAGCCCGAGTCGCGTGGCATGAGTACAACTGGACGGATTTCACGCCGCCGTGGTCGGTTTCGAGCGTCCATCGGGGGTCGTTGTGCACGTACTGCGCCAGAAACGTGTGGACCATCGGTTCGACGAGTCCTCGATATGTTGGTGGGACGTCCCGGTTGTCTGCCGCTGGAATCTCGAACGGTAGCGACGACGGGCGTAGCGATGGTGAGAGCACCGGCGGACCGACCGGGACGAGAGAATGCACTTGAAGGGCATGGAGCCACGTAGAAAAGACGTGGGGCTCGGAAGTGGCTAAGAGCATGCGCGTTGTCGGTGGCCGGCTCGGGTGAGAGATTGCAAAGGCACACGCGGTCATGTCGTCGTCCGTGGCGTGAAATGTGCATCCCGCAAGCAGAATTGTGTTACAGGGAAAGCTGTTGCGTTTGTGTTTGAAGAGGGTCAACACGCCGCGGTTCAGAATGGCATACCGCGATTTCCACTCGGCCTTGGTTCGCTTGTACACGTACCCAGCTAGTGGGGGAGGATTCATCGTTGGTGCAGCCATCCTAGTGATAAAGTGCACACTATCGTTCGTTGTCAGGATCTGATGGAGAGGGTGTGGACGCCATGATGGCGCCATGAAGGTGGACTCGCTGCTATATTTGGGACGATACGAGAGCAGAACATATAAATACCATTGCGGTGGAAAAGGACATGAAAAGCACTGCATCGAGCTTGCACAGTTTGGGCAGAAGGGGTGTGCTAGCCATCATAGAATCAAGTGTTGCAGCGACTACCATAAATATTCTCTAGGTGTTATATATGGTAGCGTCCATTGCGGCGTGAGGTTGTTCTCACTCCATCACCACTCCACGCTTCGTCCCGTATCGTCTACGGCGCTGAAGGTTGGGGCGAAAGACAGTACAATGCAGCGGCCTTGCATGCTAGTAGATATTCTAAACATAGGCTCTGCATAGCCAAGTCTTCTTCCGAGCGCATTTGTTTGCCATGGATGAGCTTTCCGCGGCGCCGCTTGTAGTGCTTTCGTCTACAGTACCATGCTACTTCAATCGATATCTGTTTGAAATAGATTCCTGTGGGCTGGTGGTCGCGTACCTGCTTGGGAACCGGAAGGTCACGGGTTCAATCCCGTGAACCCTCAGCTTTAAGAGGAAAAACACTAATGGCCGTTAGTCCCATCAAGTCCCCAATTGGAATTTAGGCGGAGGGGCAAGAGGGATTGCCTGTTCATGTGCCTTACATATGGGGAATAAAGCGAGCAGTAGCTCCCCTTAGTCAGACCCCCACTAGTACTAATTAGTTACTAGTACCCCGGAAAAACCTGTCGTCATAAGTGTAATGAATCAGATCGAAGGTGATGGGGAGCACAATACCGTACTTGACATGTCTGTTGCGAAGGGAAAAAACCTGTAAATACTTATTCAATCAATATATTATTTTCTGCAA